TTGAAGGTAGCTGTTTTGCCCTGGCTGGAGGGTGATGACTGGCTGTCGGTAGGTGGGACTGGGTTGCCGGCTGATGGTGGTTTGGCGTAGGTGACTTCACCCTCGTTGATCCTGTTGGCTTCGAGTTCGGCTTGTACTCGTTGCTGGACGATCTCCTCCACTTTTTGCTGTAGCTCTTCCCCGCTAAGGGCGGAGAGGTCGATGCCCTCCATGGTTTATGTTGTTGTGGGAGTCTACCGAGTGCACGTGACTGCACAACCCCCGGAAGGCTACGCCCGCGCGCAGATACCGTGATATCGGCACACTAGTGTGAAAGGTAAACTACGCGGGGTGCAGCAAGCACGTTCTGGACGTTACTTTGGGGCACTGGGTAGTCGGCCGTGTTAGGCCGAGAGAGAGAGGTTGAGAGAGAGTTGGAGAGAGAGTGGGAGAAGGAATCTTGATTGGAGAGAGACGATGGTGGTGGTGGAGAGAGAGGGACGAAGAAGTGCCCAGCACGCACGCAAGCCTCATCATCGCACCGACCACGCCCAAAGGGTCCCCGTGACTGCGCCGGTGGTACCCTTCAACACACGAAATTCCCAACACGTATCCCGCTGGGATCCTCACGACCAGATACTGCTGCGAGTATGTCTAACATCCTCCTCCTCGTCCTTGGAGCGAAAGTTTCTGGCGGGCATCCCTCTTTGGCCTTGCCCCAGCATCTACTGCGGCACCGGACACCTCAAGGAGGTCCCCAAGAGAAAGGGCGGCATCTTTGCGCCGTGTGACCAGAAGGACTCCCAAAACCCCGAGACCTGCCATGTGTCCTGCTTGATACTAACCGTGCACGGTTCCGACCCTGCCATCTGTGAGCTGTGCCTTGCCACCGTTGGTGGAACTCCGTCTCTCGGGGTGCACAGGTGGCCAGTGGGCACGGTTACGGGGGGGTTTATGTGACCTGTTACCCCTAGGCGTTGTACAACCTGCGTAACCCGGTCGGGCGCACCGAGGCCAACCTCCAAGGTCAGGCAGGGTTCGGAAACGCCGGCCCCATTTGTTTCTGTGCTTGGTTGCAGGCGAGGTTGTCCAAGCCCGAGCATGTCCATGACTTGCCGCGAAAACTATGTACCAGCCGGTGTCCACAGAGTGTACAACACACCGATTTTTTTGACATTCGCGGCAATAAAAGAGAAGGCTTCAAAAGTGCCGGCATTTGTAAGCCCGATTATATAGTTGACTACCGTTAGACGCGCAAAAATAGAAACAGTACACCCCCCCCATCTCCGCACCAGCACTATTTTCTAAGGAACCTCCTCCTCGCCGCTGATCTGCAACTAACTGCCCACCGGTCACCCCGCGAGTAGCCCCTCACCCCTTCGTGAGTGCTGATTATCTTGCAGCTGTCGCGTTTTGGGGCCTCTGTTCTTACACCACAAAGAAAGGCGGGTTCGTTCTTGTTCTCAACACCACGTCGGGCCTGATCACGCACGTGTTATTGTTTTTATGTGGTCAATTTCCTTGATTGTGATTTTTTTCGAGGCCGCATTTATTTCTTAACTGCCAAGTTCTTAAGTGCGAGCGCCATCTTTATCTTCTGATCATATGTATTGCCAGAAGCAACATAGACATGGGCCTACTCTAATTGATATATATATATATATATATTGCTGCCTAGAAATACGCACGGCAAGGATCGGGGGGCAAAGCAAGGACTGAGAGAAAGAGAGAGAGAGAGAGAGAGAGAGTAGGCGATGATATACTATATACATACGCTGCCTCTCTCTGTAAAAGTCAATACGACAACACGTACGTAGGTACGTCTGTCTCCAAAAAACATATGGTATTAATAGTAGTCGAATATAGTATTATTACATAAAAAAACTCTACTGAATTGCGCGCTCAGCACTAAATAATTCTATATACTTCGTATATATGTTGTTGCTGCTGTGGAACATTAAAACTTACCTGACCCATAACTTGCCATTGAACGATTGGTAATGGAAGACATTACTCGGAGTGTCTGCATTTTGCGTGGGGGGGAAGGCAGAGTAAGTGTGCTCTTGTCGGCCGCGTGGGTGGTGTTGCCACAATTGTTCCCGCCCGCGTCC